TGGCGCGGCTTGCTGCCATACTTGCGATCTGAGATGACGCGGTCAACCTCCTGATGACCATCCATAGAAGGAGGGTCCTGCGATCGTCGGCCCGGGAAGTCATCGCTCTTAGCTGGTGTATATGCTGCCAACTTTGACGCATGAAAGACTGGATGGACCGTCAGATGCTCAGGAATGTCGATCACAAATGAAGGGTCATCGGGCTCATCGCCCGCGGCTGATGTCACTGTCCATGGTCCAAACCACTTAGGGAGTAGTTTGCGTGAGACATCCTGTTCCAATGCAAACTCTTGCGAGGGGACCCAAACTCGATCTCCGGCGTGGATGGGACATGGTACGCGGCGCCTGTTGGCTTGTTGCTGCATGCGGACTTGAGCCTTTTGCATGTTTGTGCGGGCTTGAGACAGCAATTCCCTGTACTTCCGGACGGAAGCGGGAGAGCAAGCGGCGTCAATGTCGGCTGGTCGAGGGAGGAGAAGATCAGCGAAGATATGGCCTTTCTGTCCACCGTGGTGCAACTCGAATGGAGTCACACCGATCGTCGGGTGCACTGAAGTGTTGTAGGCGAACTCGATGTCGGGAGGCGGTCAACCCAATCTTTCTGGTCCGGACGGATGAGCGTACGAAGCATCATTTGAGCGGTCTGATGTGCCCGCTCCGTTTGCCCGTCTGTCTGTGGATGCCGAGCCGAACTGGGTTTCATCGTTGTGCCGGACTCCTGCATGAGAGAGGTCCAAAAAGTCGACATGAAACGAGTGTCGCGGTCGCTGACTATGTCCTCGGGTACRCCRTGGCCACAAATCCAACYGGTGKGCAAGAGGCGTGCCAGCTCRGGAGYCGTGGAGTAKTACTTGCAAGGAARAAAATGTGCGTACTTGCTCAATCGGTCCACAACCGTGAGGATGCCGTCGTGCCCGAGCCGGTCTCGAGGAAACGGACCGGTGACATCCATAGCAATGGAGATACCGGGTTACCGGGGGATAGGCATCGGGCGTAACTCGCCATAGGGATTGCGGTTGCGGGGTTTGCTGCGTCGGCAAACTTCGCAAGAATCGCAATACCGCATGACATCGGAAATGAGGTCGGGCCATCGGAATTGTTGTCGAAGCCGTGCAATCGTGCGATTGACTCCGAAATGGTCGGCGAGTCGCGAATCATGATACTCGCCGAGAAGGCGAGTCCGAAGACGGCGGTCGCGTGGGACACACAGTAAGTCCTTGCCTCCCGAGTGGAGGAGCAAGTACCCGTCGGCAATGCGATAGTGGATGTCCGGCGGGTGATCCGAAGATAGCTGCGCATACAACGTAGCAAACTCTAGGTCAGAGTGATAGCCCCTGATGAAGTGTCGCTGGAGGTCCTCGTCGAACGCGAAGGCGTGATGCGTCATAGCGCAAAGATCAGGTCGTCGCGAAAGTGCATCTGCTGCACGATTGGAGAGGCCGTCAACGTGTTTCGGTGTGAAGTCAAACTGGTCGATGAAGTACATCCACCGTCCAATCGTGTTGCTCACCGTGTCCTGCGTCTTGTAGTAGGTCAATGGGTTATTGTCCGTGACCCATGTGAACCTACGACGCCCAAGAAGGAAGTGCCGCCATCGCTTGAGAGCCATGACGAACGCAAGCAGCTCCTTCTTCCTTGCATCATCCCGAGAATTGATGGGAGGCACTTTGTGGCTGAAATACTCCACAGGGTGCCAATCCTCGCCGTCGTGCTGCTCCAAGACTGCCCCAATGCCGTAACCAGAAGCGCCAGTCGTCACTCTCGTAGGCAGAGTGGGGTCGTAGATGCTAAGGACGGGTGCCATGAGCATGGCCGTCTTAAGTGTTTGGAAAGCCTGGCGCGCGTCGTCATCGAATACGAATGGCACCTTTGGCGATTGTAGTCTTGTCAGAGGTGCAGCAATCCTTGAGTATCCGGTGATGAAACACTCGTAATAGCCTGCCAACCCCATGAATGAACGAACGTCCGTGGTGTTGGTGGGCTCGGGCCATACGCGGATGGCCTCGATCTTGTCCGCAAGCGGACGGATGCCTTGCGGCGTCACATAGTGTCCCAAGTACTCCAGCTCTTGCCGCGCGAATTCGCATTTGTCGCGGTTGGCTTTGTACTTGGCCTGTCGTAGCCGTTCCAGAACGGTGCGCAGGTGCTCCACATGCTCGTCCAAACTCCGACTGTACACCAAGATGCCGTCGAGGTAGATGAGTACGAAACGATCCAGCATGTGTCGAAACTCCAATGTCATAGCCACCTGGAATGTGGCTGGGGCATTCGTAAGGCCAAACGGCATGACCAGCCATTCAAAATGCCCATATCGCGTTTTAAACGCGGTCTTGTATCGGTCCTCCGGGCGAATCTCAAGTTGGTGATAACCCGACTTGAGGTCCAACTTGGAGAAGAACTTGGCGCCGCCCAGTCGCTCCAGGAGATCGTCGATGCGTGGGAGAGGGCCGGCGTTCTTGACCGTCTGCGCATTGAGCTTACGATAGTCGATGCACAACCGCAAATCCTTGTTCTTCTTCCGGACGAAGAGAACAGGCGCACCGTATGGCGAAGAGCTAGGTCGAATCCAGCTTTTCTCCAGAAGGTCGTCGAGTTGTGCCCGTAGCACACTTAACTCTTCCTCGCTCATTCGGTAGATGCAACCACGCGGAGGTACAGCCCCGTCCTCGAGGATGATCTCGTGGCGGATGGGCCGATCCGGTACTACTCCGTGCGGGGCCTCAAACACGTCACTATAAGTGGCGAGAAACTCAGTGATGCGTGGGTCCGATGATGCGTTCGTCAATGGGGTGTCCTGGGGCGGGAGGGCGTGGAGAAAACACACCCCCATCTCCTCAATGTCATCCTTGATGATGAAACCTCGAATACTTGCGGCGGACACCACGTGACAGCTGATCGAAGGGTGAGGAGGAGGCACCGTGCATGGGACTAGTATTCCATCCCGGTCACGAACGTGAACGGTGCGGCGGTAGAAGTTCACCGGGTGGTCCTCACTTCGCAGCCATGACATGCCCAAAATCATGTCGAACTGAGTGTCCAGAATGTCGAAGGACACGGCCTCGAGTGCATGCGGGGCGAAATACACAGGGACGTTGTCAATGCACCGGTCAATTGACTTGTGCGTGTGACCATCGGCCAACGTCACGTGTGTCGGATGGGACTTCCTCCTGACGCGTGGGCCAAGGCCGGCGCGTACCATGAAGTCCTGACTCATGTAGTTGCGAGTTGCACCGCAATCGATCAAGGCGCTGCAGGTCGCCTCTCCGATCTGAATGCGTACGTACAACAATGGTGCACGTCGTACCGTTGTGTCTTGAACTCACGGTCGATCTTCGCGATGTACTCCTGAAGGTCGACAACCTCTACTCCGGCGTCCATCAAAGGAGTTGGTACTGCAGTGTGCAAATACTCCCGCAATTGTGCCATGAGCACATTCTAATGCGGTTTCGACAATCGACCGGTCGGGGGAACGGGCATCCACTGGAAGTCCGCGACTGTCAATGGGTCAAGCTCTTCAAGTCTTGACCACATCGACGAATCCCCTGAGGTAAATGATGGCGGAACTGCCGAATCGGTTGCCGATGGAGATGAAACCGTGCATGCGGTGGAGTGTTGCACGTGGAGTGGTTGGTCCAGCGGTGGGACCAAGTGGACAGCATAGTCCTCGTAAGTGACACGAGAACTTGCGACATTCGCATCCTCCCCAGATGTGTAGGAAGCCGCTAGCAAGGCGGTCGGATCTGGCGGAGTGGGAGGTGGAGTCGCCTCACCTCCCGCGCTACTCAGTTTCCGGAGTTGTTGCGAGGCCGAACATCCTCCTTCTCCTTGTCCTGGCAGAGGGAGGTTTTGTGCTTGGTGCTATTGCACCAGTAGCAGCAGCCGTACCGACCACGGTACTTGTATTCGGCCTCGGTCAAGTTAAACTTGACCCATGGCGCTGGCTGTCCTGTTCCAGCCGATGATG